GGGCGGGGGAGGGGGAAGGGAGGGAGGGGGGAGTAATGACTGCGTTGCCATAGAAACCACGCGGGGGGGCCTTCTGGGACTGGCCGGCGCGCGCATGCGCGTTGGCAGCCCGCGGGCGCCTAGCGTGTCGTGGACCGGAAGTTCCTCGTACTTCCGGTTTTCGATGCGAAGTTGGTGCTACGTCGCTGCTTCAGGCCATGGACGCTCTGGGCCTCTTCTGGGATGGGTGTGGACCGGGAGCAGAGTGTCCCTCTTAGCTTCTTTTAATACAGATGGGTTTTTTTTTTTTTTTTTTGATAAAACAGTATCTGAGCACAGAATATGTTTGGCATAGAGCATTTAGAGATGTACAGGCAAGGACAAATAACTGAAAATCACCCAGATGATGGCAGGGTAGTTGATTTTTTTATGGCTGTCCATTGAACTGTCAAAAATTGGCCGTCTTTAGTTGTATTCACTTCTCAGTGTTTTGAGACAGGTTCTTGCCTGGGCTTTAACCCAGGCTGGCCTCAAACTCGTGATCTTTTGGCCTTGATAAAGAAACCCAGGGAGAGATCTGAAGGCAAGCTCCTTCCCCGGCTGGGCCCGTTTCACAGGCGTGCTGGTGTGATGGTTGTAACCTCCCATGGAGAGGCTAACCGCCACGTCTGCTTTTGTCCTTCCCGCTTGCTTGCTTCCGCATTCTGAGGCATAGAAACCCCCCAGCCTTGAGCTTCGGGGCAGTGCCATTTTGGAGAGATCCAGGTGCTGGCCTGCTAGCATAATAAATCTTCCTTTCCTACAACCACCTGGGTTTGAGTCTTGTTCTCCCTGGTCCGACATTCTTCCCGAAACAGCCTCATCCTCCCAAGGGTTTCAGTTAGAGGCACACTTCTGCTTTTGACGTTTTGTTCTCTGGGTGTGTTATGGGTGAGGAAGAGAACCCTGGGTTCATGGCTGAAGCAATGGCCTTGAAGTTACCATGACTCATCTCCATCCTGCCATGTGATACCTGTGCCTTTGTTTCTCCGTGCTAGTTTCCTGGAGATGCTGTTGTAATCTGACGATCCTGGAGGCCAGAATATGTTCATAAAGTATTATCACCAAGTCCATGGCTGCAAATCCATGCTCCCTCTGAATGCTAGGAGAATCTGTTTCTCTCCTTTTCCACTTTTTTGGTGGTTCTTTCCTGGTATTCCTTGGTTTATGGCAGAGTTTCTGTCTGTGCAACCGGGAGTTTTAAGCCACAGCCCAATCCCAGGGGTTCCACATGCCAGGTCTGGTCACTTGCTCCAATATACTAAATAAAGAGCTGAGTAGTGGTGAAGGGTAGAGGAAAGAGATTTATTATGCTGCTGGGCACATCACAGGAAGAACAGAGTCAGCACCTCAGCCTATCTTTGTGGTACAGATAAGCTTTAGGTTTAAGTAGAGAAAGAATTGGGGCAGGGTATGAGAGGTATGCATAATTATTAAAAGGTCCTGCTCACAGGTGTGGTCTGGTTGGTCATCATCTCAGGATGGTCAGGCAGCAAGGGCCATGATAAGAAAGGAACTGTTCAGCTGGGTGCTGTCATCCTAGCTACTTGGGAGTCTGAGATCGGGAGGATCAAAGTTGGAGGCCAGACTGGGCAAGTAGATTGTGAGACCTCATCTCCAAAATAACCAGGGCAAAATGGACTGGAGGTGTGGCTCAAGTGATAGAGCTCCTGCTTTGCAAAGGCAAAATCCCAACAAGGGGTCGGGGAAAGGCATCGTTGTCTGGGGGCAGTTTCAAATTGTTGTGGATCAGGCCTATCCTTCCTGGGTTCCAAGGTAGCTGCAAGGTGACTGTGGAGAGGATGGCTGAGAGCAAAGACAGATACAACATGTAGGCATGGATGATTAGGTTTTAGTCACCCTTTGGTCTAAGTCAGTGCTTTTAGCAAAAGCAGTTTGTAAGTACTTGTTATACCTCCGTTCTCACGTTGTGTTCTTTCTCTGTGCCTTCTCCTTACACGACCACCCATCATGATGACTCATCACAAGATCCTCACCTGGTTACATCTGCAAAGACCTACTTCCAGATTAGGTTACACGCAGAGGTTGTGGTGGAACGTTATTCAACCCACTACATTTATTAAGATCCATCACGCTATGTAATAATAACATATACTTTTATTTATCATTGCCCATAAAGCTTTGTAAGTCAAAACATAATTTCTGGTATCACTTATGGTAAGATCATTGAGCACCTCTGTGAAGCTTGTAGCAAATTCCTCATAATTTAATAATCAAAATTAGGTTGTATCAAGAAATGTTGTTATTTGACTTAAACAGCATGACTAGAGATGTGAAATGAGTATTGAATTCATGGCCTGGAGCTTTCTAGGCAGGTACCCTACCACATAAGCCACACCTCCAGTGCTTTTTGCCCTGGTTAATTTTGAGACAGGGTCTTTTTTTTTTTTTTGCTTATGTTAGCCCAGACATTGACCCTCCTATTTATGCTTCCTGAGTAGCTGGGATGACTGCACACCACTAAGCCCCACGGCATGTACCATTGTTGAGATAGGGTCTCATGAACTTTTTGTCTTGGCTGTTCTCGAACCAAGATCCTCCTGAGCTCCACCTCCCAAGAAGCTAAGATTGTAGGTGTGTGCCACTGGTGTCTGGCAAAAGGAGAAACTTCTAAAAATGAATTCATCATGAGAAAAGGGAGCACTGGGAATTTGAGAGCAGCATCTTAGGAGCTTCTATGGCATTGTTGGGTCTGGAGACCTAAGACAGATGGGTGAGTATCCCATCCCCCCATGGACAGCACTGTGATCCCTGTGTCCTGAAGAGTTATAAATCTGCATTCCTGCATCCTGAGAAGGAGGTGTAAATCTGCGTTTCTGCATCCTAAAGAGGAGATATGGGTCTGATAGGTCTGCCACAGGGCTGATGAGCAAAATGCTCTCAAGATTGTTCCTCCCCCCCACCCCCACCCCAGTAAGGGGCAAACAAACCAGTTCATCTAAGAAAGCCCTCTAATCCACAGCCATGAAAAGAGCCCACCCAACCCAGAGTTAAAACGTCCATAAAAACCCCAGCCTTTACCTGACCAGGGAGCCACCGGTTTCCGAGCTCTGCTGCAATGCTCTAGCTCAGCCTTTCCTTTCTCTCTCATAAATCCTACTTTGTATACTGGCTTGGGCTCACATATCAATCAGCTGCTTCACGCGCCGGTTCCCTGGCTTGTGAAGGCAAGGACCCTCGACACTGGCCTACAACACTTTCAAATAGGCATGTAACAGCATGGTGTTGAGAGAGCCAGACTGGGGTCAGATCTTGGATATACTATGTTCTGTCCCCATTGTGTCTAGATCTATGTCTTCACTGGAGTCGGAACCCAGTGCAGGGTTGTGTAGATTAGTAGGGATTCATGTAAGGCACCTGGAGCAGATCTGGCACATGGCCAACAGCAAAAAATAATATGTATTACTTTAGTAGGAAATTGAAGGCAGTTTTCATCCTAGATGAACAGGATGTGTGTTCTCTAGAGAAGGTTGTAGTTTATGTTGCTAATTTACATGACCATAAGGAAACAGACCTAGTTTATTGCTTTCTTAAGTAATGCTTGGAGGAAAACAGCACACACATGTGGCAGACTTTAAGGTGTGAAAAAATATGTACATACATATATTGTGTGTATGTGGAAAAAACGAGTATGTGTTTACTGTAGAAAATTTGAAAACACAAAGAATAAAAGTAACAGTGATCTGTAATCTTTCATGGGTCTTAAAATGAAATGTCTAATTCTAGAGACTTAAGTTTGGAGAATCCATCAATCATCTTCATGAAGGACCTACTTTTGGGGATAGGTAACTTCATGTTAAAGCCCAAAGTTAAATCAGGGAGCAGTGTCCTTTCCCAACACAGGCACTTACCCGAGGAGGAAGGGAGCAGGCCTCAGAGCCTCTAGGGTTGTGATGAAGGGAGCAGGTACACAGGCCAATGAGGACCCTTCCTGTTTCCGTGATGAGTAGCAGGGGGTAGGTTTTTTTTTTTTTGTGATGGGGTCTGGCTGTGTAGCCCAGGCTGACCTAGAACTCCTGATCCTCCTGCCTCAGCCTCCTGAGTACTGGCAGGTGTGGGAAGCCAATCCCCACTCAGCAGGGAACTTTTAAAAAAAGGAAGGGGGAGAAAGAGAAGAAAATATTTCCCTGGTGCTTCCTGAAAGCCAGGCTTTGCCCCTAACACCCTCGACCTTGATTTTGAAACCCATTAGAAGAGTTTGAGTGGCTAGCATTTGGGCTTCTTTACTAGTGTTTGTGTTCTGATTTTTAACAAAATTGAAATTCCCTATGTAAATAAGATGGTATAGGGCCTGTTATAAACAGATCACTTATTATTTTTCTTCCCAAAGTCTTTAAAATAGTGAAGACAGAGTGGGTGAATGTGATTAAAGTGCATTATTATGCATGTATGTAAATATCACAATGAAACCCCTTTGTACATTAACTCATGCTAATAAAAAATTTAAAAATGAAACAACACTGGCAAGCTAGTGCTATTTCCCTGCCTCAGCTGAGATGCCCTCGAATCTACCCAGTCCAACAGGTGGTAGAGGAGAAAGCTGGAAACAGGCTGTTCATAGGGGGATTTCTTTTGTCTGACAGCTCATTGAATTTTTAAATAATCTGCCAGAACACTTTAAAACAATGAAGCTTCTCTTTATTTAAAGGCCTCTGTGGCTATTCTGACCCTTCCAGTTTGTTTGCCAAAAGCCGGCCTCCTCCTGAACCAACGTGGCATTTCTGGGCTCTCTGGCAGCCCCACAGAACTCCTCCCTTGCTGCTTTTCTCCTCCTCTCTTTGCCCCCAGGCATCTCTCCATGAGTCTCTGATTGGTGCGCCATGCAGCCTGGCCTTTTAGGGACTGTTGTCAGGCTTTTAAAGTGATAAGGAAAGGGTGCAGTGGCTGCTTTTATCAACCAATCAAATATTTTCTTGACAGATCCTCAAATATTCCCAGGCCAATGGAGGGGGAAACCCAAAATGCCTGTCTGCTCCTCTCTAAATTGGAGGGGAGGGGCAGAAGTGGAGCCCTGGGCTGCTGCCAGCTCCGACCTGGCACTTGCTCCTCCGCGTCACTGTCAGGATTTGTCTAGCGACGTGTTCCCTGACAGGGGTGTGTTGGGGGGAGCCCTCTTCCCGACAATCAAAATGGTTATCAAAGTATTTGTTGCCACATCTTCTGGGTCCATAGCGGTAGGTGTCTGGTGGGGTCTGGGGCTTTGTTCCTGTACTGTTTTCTGGGTAACTCAGAGTTAGAAGTAGAGGAGCCGGATGGCCAGGCCTTGGCTTTGAATTACTTTTTGTGTGTAAGTCAACTGCACTCCGCAGTGAGCATGTGCACTCTTGGCTTTCTGCATTTGTTTTCATAGTGTTGAAAAAAGTGTGTAAAAATGTGTAATCCAGACAGGTGGTATGAAAGGGGCTTTGTGGAAGGAGTGCTTGATGCTGGAGTTTTAGATGTGATTTGAGTTGTGTTGTCATTTTATATACATATATATATAATACATATTATATATATGTATATAAAATAGAACCGTGGGCTTTTTTTTTTTTGAGTGTTTCTGCCATTCGTTATGCAAGACTTAGACTAATTTAAAGTTGGAAATAAATGACACTTTGTGTACTCCTGTGACGAACCAGACAGCTAAAATGACTTGTTGGTTGTAATAATTGTATTTGTGATGTAAGCGTGCAGAAAGAGTAAAGTTAGTAAGTGTAATACCCTTATTTAAGGGAAACAATGTCACAATGACAAGAGCAAATGTTTCTGAGGCCACAGTTTTAAATGCTCTAGGAATTCCAGCAGTCCAAAAATAGGAAGAAAAAACGCCAACCTCTGTACCATTGCTTTGTCCTGGAGACCACCCACTGCCAATGTGGGCCTCCGTCCTGTGTGCAGTCTATGAGGGTAACACGCTGACTCATCTGTCCTTGGAAATGATTCAGGCTTTGGTATCAGGCTTGAATCTGCAGTGTCTGTCTGGGAACGATGATGTTTTGAGCAGCATTTTAGCAGCAATTTGGAGGCTATGGAAAGAAAAGAGTCTGTTAATCCCAAGAGTTAGAGACAGAGAGGGGGCTGTTTCCTTTTATATCTGGCTCCCGGATGATCTCAGGTTGCAGCTGGGATTTCCAGTCACTCAGCAGAGATGATCCCCTAAGTAGGCTGCTGGCTGGGTGTCAGCCCCCAGAGCAGCTTGCTAAGGGCCACCTCTCCAGCCCCGAAAATTCATGGGATTTCCAGAGAGGGTGAGAGGAAAAGAACTTGTGGGTCCAGTAATGATAGCCCAGTAGTGACTGTTTTAATTCTGTGTGGACCAGGTTAACAGAAAAAGATGAGTAAAGATTCCACAGGTTAATCTTTCATGGCTGTTGATGGCTGCAGAAACTTTTCGTTTGATGTATAATGAGGACATTTTTGTTTGTTTCTGCAGTGCTGGGGTTCAACTGCAGGACCTCATCCATGCTAGCTAAACACCCCTGAGCTGTATCCCCAGCCCTTGAGTACATTTTTGGGTTATTTAGATGAAAAATGTTTTGAGGAAAATGACTTCTCAGTGGGCTTTAAATATGCTAATGTCAATGGCAAAATCCTTTACCCTTTCTAGTGGATTCTCCAGACATGGCAAGACCTGGTCTGCATGGCTGCATGTATTCTTCAGAAGACAGAATAAATGTATGGATTGCTTAGGTTATACTCTTGGAGTTTGGGAGCATCATTTAGTTAGCCTTGGAGGACCTGGAGAACCGCCATTCATTCCAGAATCTTGGAAGCCAAGTCAGTTCTGGTTCCCTAGGCAAAGGTTTCAGTGCCACTTGGAATCGTGTGACCTTGGGAAAGGCATTTCACCTTGCTAAGCCTCAATTTCCTTGTCTGTAAATGAGGATAAGAATAGTATCCATCTCATAGCGTTGTCATGAGGACTTCTGAAGTAACGCGCTCCGAGAGGAGCCCGGCGGGGGTCAGGTGCTTCATCAGTGCACAAGAAGCGTCCACATCTGGCCACCGTCAGTTAATGTGAGTTGCTACATAATTTTGATCATTACCAGTTAATGTTAATACCAACTAGTTGTTAGCTGATCAGTTACTAGGAATATCAGCTAATAATATCCAATACATATAGGTCTGTGATCATTTCGAGTCAGAAGTCTGGTCCAAACCCAATAAGTGGAAGAATTTCTGTTTTTCAGTAAAGACAGAGCTTATTCTCCTGCCCCAGTGTACACGCTGATGTGTTTTCATGGGTGTGGAGTTTTACCCCAAAGCTTCTTGGCAGGAGACCCTCGAGCAGCTGCTGTGCTCACACTGCATGTAGGCTGGGTGTTCTGCACAGCTGTCACTATTTACTTCTCCAGTCCACGTGTTTCAGAAGTGAATTCTTCCTCATGCCTAGTCACCGAGACCATTCTGACTGCTGTTGGATGAATGGAATGACTGAAAAAGGAAAACAGATCTCAAATCTCTTTGAATATGTGCTGTGGCTATTAGTTCTGTTTTAACAGTTGACTCCAAAGAGCTGTGACACTTCTACCATGTTCTGGAACCCTGGGGAGTGGAGAAGATGGGTGTCTTCTCATACAACCCTCCTGTCTCAAAGTCATTGCTGCAGTGGAGCACGGGAGCAGGGAGAAGAACAATCCTCACTGTCTGTAAGATGCGCAGCCCCAGGAACCATGAATGGTCTTTAAGGCAGACCCTCGGGGCGCTCCTGGGCTTCTCATCTAGACTGATAGTGTAAATATGGTGGGAAGGGCTGGAGGCATGGCTGAAGTGATAGAGAGCTTGCCTAGCAAGCTTGAGGCCCTGAGTTCAAGGCTCTGTATAGAAAAATAAATGGTGAGAAAAGCATGACTCTTGGATTAAACTGATCTGAATGTCAATCTTGGGAGATTCAGTAGTTTATTGGAGCCTCATTGTTGTTATTTTAAAATGGTGACAAGAACTTGTACTTGGTAGGCCAGGTGTGGTGGTACACACTTGTAATACCAGCACTGAAGAGGTGGAGGTAGGAGAGCAGGCCAGCAAGAACTGTCTCGACAGACAGACAGAAAGAAAGAAAGAAAGAAAAAGAGAAAAAGAAAAAGAAAAAAAAAACCCCAAACCCTTGCCTTTCCAAATCACCTACCTGGACTACCAGTGTGACAATGAAATAATGGGTGCCTGGCAATGAAGTTCTCAACTTGTGGCACAAAATGCTTTTCTGTGCATCCTCATCTTCAGTTCTCACTGCTGCCCCCTCCAGGATGGTGTGTCATATCCGTTCTGTGGCTGAGGCCATTGAAGATCAGAGCCCTTGCTCCGAGAGCAACCTTCTGAACTGGGACAGAAGGGAAGGTCATCTGCATGTGTGACTCACATGCAGCGTGTTTAGTACTGCACTGTGGTGACCTCAGTTGGAAAAGCTCCGAACTGTACAAGACAATAGACTGGAGGTGCCAAGTGAGTGTCAGTAAAGGTGCTGCTGTCAGGTCACTCAGGCACTTTAGAGTGATTAACAGTGGCAGGGTGACTCCAGGACAGAGAATAAGCTTTTCTTATGAGTGAAAGTAACAGAGTGGAACAGGAGCTCTGCCTCCACTGAGGTCCCAAAGGCTCTAAACAATGACCCAGATCCCAGGTGTGCTCAGGTCCTGCAGAGCTGCTACCCAGGACAGACCCATGGCCCCCTGGAGAGGGTGGAGAGGGGGCAAAGGGAGAGAGGGAGCAGGTTTTGGTGAGAACTCTTGGGGTGCTGGGCATGTCCTTCCTCTTGAGGCCATAAAGGGGAGGTGCCCTCTAAGGTTTGAGACTTCCTGTGTCAGGTCAGGACGCCTGGTGGAGAAGAGCAGCACTTTGGGAGGTCCAGTGGGGCTTGTTGATCAGGGACTGACCCAGGGGAGGACTTTGGGAGAGGGGCACACTGTAGGGTGGACTGTAGGGTCCAGCAAAGGAGGCAGTGCCAGCCAGGTGAGCTCATGTGCTCTTCTCACTCTTCTCTCCTTAGGGCATGACCCTAAGACCCTTCCTTCTCCGCGGGCTGCCAGCCCAGTACAACTCAAGTGCACAATCAGCCCTGGAGCCGGGTTTTAATGGTGTTTGGGGAGTTCTGGCAATCAGGTCTTCTTTTTTCTTTTTTGGGGGTTGGGGGTGGAGCTGAGAAACAGCACTTGATACAGTGTCATGCATCTGGTAGTCACTTAACTTACCTGGAGGTTCAAGACCCACAGTGAGCATGGTTACCCTTTCGTTTTCACAGTCCCTTTGCCTTTCTAAGAGAAGCAGAAGCCAAGACATTGGGCAATGTTTTCACCTATTCAGAAATTGTGGATAAAATCCAAGCCCCTCACCACCTCACCTCAGTGTTGGTAAGGTGGCCTGGCCTAGGCTGGTTGCCTCCCAGGCTGACTATGTCTAAGAGGCGTTTGAGAAGGGATTTGGAGGAAGGACAGACTGGAGTGTGGACAGAAAAAAAGAGGTCATCTTCTGAATATTTCATTAAAAGTGAACCTGCCTTAAATGAAGACATCTCTACTAAATGAAATGACAAAGTTATCTCTGAAAATACCTAAGGGAATAAGTAATTCATAAACCAGCACAAGTGATATGGACTACTAGGAAAGGATGTACAGAGAGGGTGACTAAGATAATAATTTGGTCCAACGATCTATGACCAGGTCCGATGGGATTTTGCAATATTCAAAAGTGCAGTCTGAAGCTGTGGATTTGGAGCGATTTCTGTGCAGAGTAGGAAATCCCAGCAGAGGGAGGGAGGGAGGAGGGAAGCACACAGACACTCCTCTGATTCTTATAGGGGAGCACTCTGGGGTTACCAGAGTCCTTATGCTGGGAGTTAAGGAAAATGCTATCATTAAACCCCTGTAAAAATTTTTTTCCATGCTTGTCCCAAACTGAAATGCATGACTTAGCCTAAATCTTATTTACTGTAAGTATTGTGTTGTAGCCAAAAGCAGCCTTTAGTTTATTGATCTAATGCTTTTAGTTTCAACGTGTTTCTTATGTGCAAGGTAGAAATCTCAATTAAAAATTAAATGTGTTATTTCCATTTATATATGTGTATACATAATTTGCATGTATTTAATTAAAAACTAAAAATTATTTAATATTAACTTATGTTACATATATACTATACTTTTTTTGTATGTATGGTACTGGAGTTTGAACTTAGGGCCTACATCTTGAGCCACTCTGCCAGCCCTTTTTTTTATGATGGATATTTTTGAGATAGGACCTTGTGAACTATTTGCCCAGGCTGGCTTTGAACCGTGATCCTCCTGATCTCTGCCTTCCACATAGCTAGGATTATAGGTGTGAGCCACCAGCGCCCAGCTGTACTATGTGTTAAATAAAATTACTACCCCAAACAAATTATATACACAAATTATTTTATAATCTTTTATATAATTTGCCTTGGACAGTGGTTTGATTCCAGGACTTAAACGTCCATAGAAGAAGCACCTCATCCACAATGATAGAGTCATTGATTTTGGCAAGAATGAAGAAAATAGTTGGTTTTTTTTGTATGCAGATCTATAAAAAAGGAAAGATTTGGGTTTAGCCCAAAGATGATTTGAGTCTAGACAGTATGTTTGTGATGGGCCTGTATCTTTTATAGCCTTCATTTTGAAGCCTCAATGTTTGTCCTTCTGCTGATAAACAAGTCTCATGGATAAGGGGCCCTTTTGCCATTTGAAACATTTTTAATGACTTGTCTTCATTATGAGACATTTTTCTCTTCCTAACTTAAAAAAAACTCAGATATTAGGTATTTTCATGTCAAATAAAGTACTTATTTAACATTGTAGTCTTACTTATAAAAATGAGTATCCTAGTCATTTTTTTATTATAATCTTAGTGTGTTCTGTGTCTCTATTGTACAAATTAGTTTCATGCCTTTTTTCACCCAAATAAGAATCTTTTCACCTGAAGAGCCTGGCGTGATGTCTTATGCAGAGTAGAGAGTCAACTCTCTATTGATGGATTACACTTTCTGCAATTTTCTTCCTGGGGTCCTTAAAATAGGGTCCACAGAATACTACAATTTCTTTACCAGTTTGTAAAAGATGTCATCGCACATTTCTGGGTGTAAACCACTGAGAGAGAAACTGGTTGTAATAGTTTATGGGGAAGGAGCTCTAAGCTTTGCAGATGATACCAGTAATGAGAGATTGCAGTCCCTCGACACAGGCATTGCACGTGAACCACAGGTAGAGAAAAGGGGGCTCGGCCCTCTCTCCTAGGTGTGGCTGCACTGTACTCCTGCACGAGAGCCATCCAGTGTGGCAGGAAAGAAGAATCTGTGGGAGGAAAGGGATACTTTACTGTGTTACCCTTCTGTGTGCTGGAAGAAACACCCACCAGCCTTTTCTACCCTTTTCCTCTGCCTTCCAGTAATCTCCACATGGAAGGTACACAGATTCCCGAGTTAGAAAGCTACTTTGAGTCCCATTTCCATAACTGTGAAGGAGATGCATTTTAGTATGGATATGCTTGGTGTTTGCATTTCACAGTAAGGCTTCTATTTCCTCTGTTTTTCTTCCTCTTCTCCCAATCTCTTCTTTTCCTCACTAATTCATGTTTACTGTTTGGAGCTAGGAAAGCTTTGAATTCAGAGTATTTTAAAGACCATAAATGGGACAGGAGACCATCTCCATATCAGTTAGGCTGGATTTACAGTGTTTTAAGCATTGGCAATCTTGAAATCTCACAATTTGAACAGTCACTCTGTTGATCATTGATAATTAATTTTAGAATCGGAGATGTGACAATTTTAGGTGTGATTTTATTGTTTCCTTCATGAAGTTATTTATGCTGTATGCTCTAGCTAGAGCAAGGATTTAATGTGTATAGACGTCAGCCAAACATTTTCCCAGAAACAACCTAACAATTACTCTCAACCAGATTAGGAAGAAACAGCAAGAAGTGGTGGGCTTTCTGGAAGCTAATAAAATCGACTTCAAGGAGTTAGATATAGCTGGAGATGAAGAGAACAGGAGGTGGATGAGAGAGAACGTGCCTGGAGAGAAGAAGCCTCAGAATGGGATCCCTTTGCCTCCCCAGATCTTCAATGAGGAGCAGTATTGTGGGGTGAGTATTTGGTTTTGTAGAAAATTCTCTGGATCTACAGTCATTGTATGTCTATCAGAAGATTTTCAAGCCGGATTAATTTTGCGACAGCACTTGAAATTGTTCTCAACTGCCCGTCATGATTTGTTTCTACTGTCCGATGGCCGGGTGTAGGTCCATTGTGAATAATCAATACTTAGGATTTAGAAAATGCTGAGAGCAAATCCATGATGATGCAGAGTGTTTTAGATTATTTTAGTTTCCTAACAAGGTCACTTGTTTAAAAAATATTGCATTTAGTCAGGAAGGAATTGTATGTAACCTTGCTTAGTGTGTACCCATGCATTCCCTGGACACATGGTAAGTTATCAGTTTTGTAAAGACTGATCTGCAGAAGTGCAGTCTTAATATTGATACGACGTAAATTCATGTGAGTTTACCTAATTAGTTTAAAAACTGCTCTGGACATTTTGTTGTAACAAATTTTATTTCATAATTTTTTTTTTTTGTATTTTACATTATTGGCAGTACTGGGGATTGAACTCAGAGCCTCGTGCTTGCTGGAGAGACGCTCTACTACTTGAGCCTCTGGCCCTTATATATTCAATAGTTAATGTCAACACAAAATCACCTTTTTGTTTAGAGCTTGCAGATTGTGCTTAATGAATCAAATTGTTGAAAAGAGCCATTAGAAAAAAACAAAACAAAACGAAGGTGTTTTGAATGAGAACTGAAAATTATCCGTACCTGAACCATCTAGGCCATTTCTCAGATGAGGGAATGAGGTCTCAGTCAACTAGTGTGTGCTGCTTCCGGGAGCTGGAACCAGTGCAGCCATCTGAAGCCAGGTCTTCTCTTGTCACACAGAACTGCTGCTTCTTTGGTGTAGATTTTCTTCCTTATTATGTTTTTCCTCTGAAGCACCTGTCTTTCAAGAAGGTGACGGCCAAATCTTCCCATTGTCACTTTTAGTAAATAAGGTTTTGTTGGTGAACATCCACAAGAATTTATTTACTGATTGCCTGTGGTCAAGTTCACTCCATTGCAGAGTTGAGGAGTTGTAACCAATATGGTACAGTCCTTGGAGCTCTTTTCAGAAAAGCTTTTCAAATTGTGGTTTGAAGTATGATTTGTTACTTGTTCGGTCTTAGATTATTTTCTTGGGGCTGCTGTAACAAAGTACCACAAACACAGAGGCTTTAAACTACTGAAACTTATTCTCCCACAGTTCTAGAGGCCAGAGGTTTGACATGGAGATGTTGGTGCTGGGTTGGTTCCTTCTGGAGGCTTTGAGGGTCTCTTCCAGGCCTCCTTCCAGATTCCAGGTTTCCCACCAGTCCCTGGCTTGTTGAAGTATCACTCCAGACGCTGCTTTGGTATTCACACGGGGTTCTCTCTGTGTCTGTGTGTCTCCCATGGCCTCCCTGTGACAATAGGCATTGAAATAGGACTGATTCTTTGGTGTAGGTTTTCTTTTCTCTTTTATTTTTGGTGGTACTGGGGTTTGAACTTGGGACTTTGAGCTTGCAAAGTAGGTGCTCTACGATTTGAGCCACACCTCCAGTCCATTTTTCTGTGGTTATTTCATGAACTATTTGCCTGCGTTAGCTTTTAACCACCAACCTCCCCATCTCAGCCTCCCAAGTAGCTAAGATTACAGGCTTGAACCGCTGGCACCTGGTTCCCCTTCCATTTCTGACCCTGTTACTCAAGCTGTCTTCCCCTGAACCACGCTGGTGCGGGGCTACCATCGGGGATTTCTCTTGGGGCCTGCTGTACGTGGTTCAATACTCTGCTACCATGACTTGAAATTCTTAGCCATTTTCGAACCAAGGGCCCTTCTTTTTCATTTTGTGCTGGTCCCGCACATTATCTTGCTCTGAGCCAACCAATGTTAGCAACTTCTTGTTTGGTGTTCCAGAGCTTTCTGAGTCTATTTACAACTGAATATCACTTAAAATGGGAGTGTACAACATACACTTTGTTTTGTTCAGTGAACAAAATTGCATCCTGGTCCACTCACAGCTGCAGTGTGCCTCATTTTAATGGCTGCTTGTGTCTGAGGAGCTGTCTGGTCGAGAGCGCTCAAGTTGTCTTCAGCCCTCACTGTTAAGACAATTTTGCAGGAACCATCTTTAGATTTACATGCCTTTCTGTCTAGCACCAGTGTATATGTGTAGATAAGTTCCTAGAGCAGGTGCTGAGTTAAAGTACATATGCAGGTCACATTTTCATACATACTTATTGGCAATGGACCCTATTGTGGCTGCACCACTTACATTTGCATCAGCTGAGTTAGGGGGTGGCTAGTTCCCTGTGTTTTGGAACAGCGTGTTTCTCTGCCCCAGCGCAGTGGGGGAATCAGATGTCAGGGGAGTCCTGAGTATCATCACACTCCTGCCAGGTTGAACTCTTGCTGTTCTATGCAGGGCAGATGAAGATATTATCCCAAGAGCCAGGGTAGACAACTGTTAGACAGAGAAAGGGGGCACCAGATGGGAAGCCAGGCAGGTCAAGGCCATGTTACCCGCCTGGTAGAAGATTACCTCTGGAAGTAGCAGACATATCTGTTGATGACAAGTTGGAATCTGTGCATGTTAGTCCAGATAATGGCTGAAGTGCCCAGAATCCGAGCCTGAGCATAGCAAAGGGGACTTGGTCATTCAGAAGAGAGGCTAGTGTCTCTGGTGACATTTGAGTTTGTCTTGGTCCTGTAAGTAGAAGTGGAATTGTTCGGTGGTAGCTATGGGCAAGTTTAGCTTTATTAGATAATACAAAGCGTTTTCTTAGGTGATTCTACTAACTGTGCTCCTGCCAGGAGTGGGTAAGGGTTTTCAGTATTTCACACTTCTACCACATTAGCAGGTTTTTGGGAACCTGATTACATGGGCAATGATAACTCACTGTGGCTTTAATCCTAGTGAGAGTGATTGGTTCTTCATATGTCTTAATTACTTGTTCTCTTCTGTATATTGTTGGTACATTTGCCTACTGAGACCTTGCTTTTCCTTGTGATGTGCAAGGGTTCTTTTTCCCCATCTTTATTAGGATATATTCATTGTACGGGGGGATTCATTGTGATTATTCCAAATAGGCTTACATTGTACATTGGTTAGATCACCCCCATCAGCAAGGGTTCTTTATACAGTATAGGAAATATTAGAATATTCCTTCCAACTGTGGCCTCTTAGAGCACACTAACAGTAGGGTGGGCAACACTGTGACTGAATTGACTAGTGTTGACCTGTTCAAGCTGGGACAAACTTGTTCTTCGATGAGCCTTTGTGCAGTGTGTTGACATTGCATCATGGCCCTGGGGACAAAGACTGATGGTATGGCACCAAAGTAGTCTGGTAGAATATATTTTATGTTTAATGATGAAAACAAAGCTATTCCAAGCCATTGACAACCACACTCCGAGAGAATTGGTCAGGGATGAATCTGCCCACGCCTGACCCTGACCCTAGTAGGGATGGAGCCTCAGATTTCAGCCTGCTCCCGAGTCTCAGGTCACTGGAGAGTTTTTACCATTTTGCCAAGACATGCCCCAGGTAAGTCCTCCATCTTCTAAGTGTTCCGTGGTGCTGTGACTCCTGGTACTGGGTGGCCTGAGGTGAGACTGGGCCTCAGAGCTACCGAGTAACAGTAGGGAAATCCTGTGTGGTTTCAGTCTTGACCTGTCAGGGTCCAAAACTATAGGCCAAATTATAATTAATCTAGTTAAACATGTGAACTTTTGGGAAAGTCCTTTGCTCAGGGTACTTGGGTCTTGTCAGCAGTCCTGAGCATCAACAGTTGTGGTTGTGAATTCTTACCACAATGGACAGGCACAATGAAAATGCATTGAGAGAAAAGTAAAGCTCATGGCAAGTCGTTTTGCTGGCGGTACTTGGGGGTTGATACTCCCAAGGACAAGGGCCTCGTGCTTGCTGGACAAATGCTGTCCACTTAAGCCCCAGCCCAATCCCCTTTTGCCTTTGTTTTGATAGGGTCTCACACTTTTGCCTGATCTGGCCTTGGACTGTGATCCTCCTACCTCCACTCCTGGGTGGCTGGGGTTACAGACAGGTACCACTAGGCTTGGCCTGGGTTTAGTCCTCTTTGACAAAGCAAATTGGAATAACCTTTTGTGTTTGCTTCTAATTTAATAACTACCAAATAGAAAGGATCAGTTTAGTCAAATATATGGGCTTACAAGTGTGCAATGACTTTAAACATTCTCTTTCTTTGTTTCAAGGATTTTGACTCTTTCTTCTCTGCAAAAGAAGAGAATATTATTTATTCGTTCCTTGGTTTGGCTCCCCCTCCAGACTCAAAGGTAAGCTTGGATAGCCTGTTGTGGTTCAGTGCAGGTGATAATAAATGAAAGTAGGAACCAACAAACAGCACTGTAAATAAATAATGATCTTTAAGTTAGCATGATTCTTTCAAAATTCATGGGATGCTTCATGAATTTGCAAATCATCCTACAGGGCCATGGCGCTTTCTGCATTACTTCAGCTTTTACTGCCATGGCGTCAGTATACTCTGCAGTCTGGCTAATTTGTCTACATTAGAGATAGCACAAAGCTTTTACTAAAAATGTTTCAAAGTTATGCTTTTCATGTTCTTGCTATGTTTTCCCAATGTTATAGTTAATTTTATAGTACTTAAGAAATAGAAAGGCTGGGACTGTAGCTCATTTGTAAAGCGTTTGCTTAGCGTGTGTGAGGCCCTGGGGTTGACCTCCAGTGCCATAAACAATAACAGCAGCAAAAAGAAATACTGCACTTACTAATTTCAAGTACCTTCATTAAATAGTAAAGATATGAACTCCTTGGTCATGTTTACGAAGCGATTTTTGCCATGAGTTGACTTCTCTTTCAGCCTATTTTAATTTCATAATCACACATGACTTTGGTTAATAGCTTCTATTTAAAATGAGCTGATAATGCAGAAACCTTAAAGTGACAGAAGTCAATGGGACCCTTCAATGGAAAGGGGATGAGGAACTAGTGAAAAGGTCAGGTAGAGATGAATCAACTTGGGTTGTAACACACTTGTGCATGGAAGCAATGCTAGGAATCTCCCTGTGTAGCTATCCTTATCTCAACTAGCAAAAACGCTTTGTCTTTCTTATTATTGCTTATGTCTTCTCTTCAGCAAAATTAGAGATAAGGGCAGAACAGTTTCTACCTGGAAGTGAGGGGGGAAGTGGGGGGAAAGAATGGCTCAAACAATGTATGCACATGTGAATAAATGAATAAAAAAAATTTTTAAAAATTAGCTGAGCTTGGCTTTGTGAGTCCGGTAAAAGGGGAAATGTAAGATCTAGGCTCAAGCACAAGATAGATTTCAGGAGGCTTTTTCCTCCAGTGTGTCTCATCTTTGATCATGTACAATTAAACAGAGTAAGGCTAATAAAGCTGATGCCATGAACTCTGGTGTTTCATTGGACCGCCTGCTTCCCTCTGACACTGCCCACAGCATCCCTTCCTGCACAAGGACCCTCACGCACGACTCTCCATAGACATAAGCCTGCATTTGTGAGATTCATTTTTTAAAATATTAATTTTCTTGTTTGTACTCAGATACATTTCAAGAGAGATTTGGAACGAGTGAGTCCAAATCAATTGTCACAATAGGAGTGGCAATGAAGTCTGTGCCCCACAGAAGCAGGTTTGTGGAGGGGTGTGGACACAATCGTTCATAAGCCTTTGAGCTTTCTCACTGCTTTGGATAATACACTCAGGGCTTGCTCTTACATTTTCTCCAAAGGGCTGTGTGTAGGTTTTGCAGTTGGTTAATGGTTCTGTTGAAGGAAAAGTCTTCCCTTTTAATGAAATGCCATTTTGGTTTGGGTCAACTTAAGTACTATATATCTCACATACTTTATTAGCAGTTTTAAAAAAGTGCTGAAGCCCATTTTATGAAATTTAATATTTTTACTTGGGATAGGATTTGCTTAACTGAATCATATTAGTGTAGACATACATTACATTTAAGAGCTAGGTCTTAGTGTGTAGGAAACATTTCTTGGTGGGGACACCCAGGTCATTTGTGTGCCGAATGAGGAGAAGGACAGGTTAGATAAACACCATGTGAAGCAGAGAGAAAAGCAAGTGCAATTTTCCTCAGGAAGGAGCCCGGAGGGTCCTAATGACACCAGATCTCTGTTCCTGGGTTTGTGTCCTAGCGTAGTTGATGGTTGAAGACGCAGGACCAGGAGTTAAGAGTAAAGCAAGCACAAAGTTTGCTGAAAGGATAGCAAAGCACCCTGATGGGTGGGACTTAGTGAGAGACAAGCCAAAGGATGGCTGACGTCTAGGAGATGATATAGAGCCTTAACTGGCTGAGGTCCAACTAGTCTATCTTTGTGATTGGTTGGTACCTGGTCAACTTCTCATTAAATCTGACTACCTGCCTGTCCCTCTCCTTATTGAAGTGGACCTTCTGGGAGGGGCTGGTCATCTTGTCCTGCCTTGCAAGTTTGTCCAACTCATCCTGGCCTTGTGGCCCATTACCCACTTTGTGTAGCTGCATCTTGTTACTTTGGTGAGAGGCTTGTTACTTCTCTGAGAAGTCCATTGTTTCCCACACCTCATTCGATGTCTGCTTTTAAAGTGCCCCTCTCATCCAAAATGGAGTCACCTCTGTCATTGCTCCCTTTTCATTCCCAGGGTCTTTTCTGCTGTTTGTTCCCCAAACCATTTCTGCTTTTTTATTTCCAAAGCTATTTCTGCTGTTTATTTTCCCTCACATTTATTCTCCTCACACTAAGAGCTGTTGTGAGGCCCCTGTTGCTGGGGTGCCATAGGTGGTGGGAGTGGCAGGTGGATGGACAGCTCATTGTAGTGCTCTGGATACTGTCTTTGTTACAGGGTAATATTGCTAAGGTTTTAGGAAGATGAGTATGGTGCCTACTATGGGATGAATGGATAAAAGGGGGTGCAAAGCCTGCTTAGCAAGCATGAAGCCCTGAGTTCAAATCCTAGTCCCACTAAAAAAAAAAAGAGGTCATAGACTACTATTGTCATCTAGATGAGACTTCATGGTGGCTTAGCTAGGTTGTGGGGATAGAACAGGAGAGGAGCAGATGATGTTAGGGACCAATTTAGAGGTGGAATCCTGTAGACTTGCTGATGGATTGAATGTGGGGAGGGAAGGAATGAGCAATTACAGCCACTGTGTGTAGAACTTGCTCTGGTGGAGGGCCATATGTCTACAGGGGATATTAAGATGGAACAAGGCCGCTAAGTGAAGAGACAGGCGTTGCCTGTCGATCTGCATCTCACTCAAGTCTGGTTGAGATGCACAGAGGAAGCCCCAGTGTTTGGGTGGAGTTGAAGTCACAAGAAGTGGATAAAACTGAGTAATCAAAGAGGGTTGACAGCAGGAATCCAGGCTGGGGTGTGGAGGGCGGGGAAGCTTCAGGCTTAAAGTTGGTAGAGGGTGAGGACAAAGCAGCAGAGGAGGCTAACACAGAGTCTTGAAGGGGGAAGTCCAGCAGCATGTGGGGTCAAGGTAGCCCAGGAGGAGTGCTCTCCACACAGGGTGAGCTTTGTTTGTTGAATGCTGCTGAGTGATTGTCAGGCAAGCACAGAAAAGTGACCACTGCTTTGTGACATGGAGATAGATCCTTGGTGGCCACAAAAAAAGTAGTTTCTGAGGAGTGGTGGTGACAGAGGCATATTGCAGGGATCCAAGAGGACTGCTGGCGAAAAGCGGGGCAGGGGCGGGGGGCTACGCATGGGGGATTTTCCCATGAAAGACAAGAGAAAATGGCAGGCAGCATCATTTTATGAGTGCCCTCCCACCCCACCACCATGGAGAAATTTGCAGTTCCTTCAGCACCACTTGCTACAGTTCCCTGGCTCCCTCTGCTCCCTTCCTCATGGACTCCTTAGCTGTCACTTTCCCATCCAACTAGTCCCCCAGCCCCAGGGAACCACTGCAGTGCTTTCTTTCTCTGTAGCTTTGCTTCTACTGGCCACTTCATATAAACGTGACTGGCTTCATTCACTTGGCATGTTGTCCAGGCTGTCAGTGTTGTTGCAGGGGTCAGGACTTGTTATACATTGCGTAGACACACCAGCTTGTATTTATATACTCACCAGCTGATAGATGTTTGGGTTGCTTCCACTTTCAGGCCTTTTTTGAATAATGCTGCTGTGACTATTTGTATATATATTTTGTTTAATTTTCTCTTCAATATTACTATTATTTGTATAATAGGCCACTATGCTCACAATCCTTGGACAGTTTAAAATACTCCAGACCCACAAATCTCAGATTTGCCTGAGACCCCACAGTATGCAAACTTTTAAAATTAAGTCTAATGCACATTTGTGTTAACAACTGCTACACTGGAGACTCATTTAATAACTGTGCAAGTAAGTGCTTCTCCAGAACAGATGTGACACCTCAGTTGCTATAAAGAATTCAAACATCACAGGGAAACTGTAAGACCAAATGTTCTCTTTCCCATTGCTGTTTCCCTGGAGGCCACCAGCATCATGAATTTAGTATCTGTTTATTATGTATCTACCTATCATCTATCTATCCATTCATCCACCCATCTGTCTGTCTTTCTATCTATCCATCCACCTATCTATCTTTGTCCATCCACTCACCAGACCATCCACCCACCTATATATCTATCTCCTATATATCTCCAAGACAAGAAAAACATCTATTTTTTGTATTTTAAATGCCTAATTGTTATAATGCTATGGAATGTTCTGTAACTTGATATTTTTTTCTTTTTCAAAATCATCGTGAAAGTTTTATTAATTTTTTTAAGCAACAGAAGAAACAACAAATAACACCTAGGAGCCTCCAAATAGAATTCTAGTCACTCCCCTCCCACAAACTAACATAACAGCATTTATTTTTTTTGCTGTTGTTCTTGTGGTACTGGTTTTTGAACTCAGGCCCTTAGACTTGCTAGGCAGGAGTTCTACCACTTGAGCCACTCCACCAGCCCAGCACTTAATATATGCCAAGGAAGATACATGGATAGGTGAATTATGAAGCTGAAAATGTTTAGGTAGACCTCTCTAGGTCACAAGGCTCACAAGCTGAAGACCTAGAATTTGAACTCAGTGCTTCATATGGATGGAGTCACATGGTGTGTATTCATCCAACACCCTCTCCAAGCCCTGATGCGCAAAGAAAGTGTGTTTATAGAACGAAGCCATCCACCCTGAAGACCACCATAAATTAAAAAAAGATATGTAGAGGTAACTATCATGCAATGCTTTCTCTGAAACTGATACTAGAAGATCAATCCATTTTCACCTTTAAAACAAGAGTCTGTAATTCATCCCTGGTTGTGGA